TGCTTGGTTTTCCGCTGCATCAGGATTTTATTTTGCAAACAAGTCTACTGCGTAAAGGAATGAATCTAATTCAGCTGCAGCTCCCCTAAATTCTGGAATACATTGAATCGCTTTCTCAATTGGGAACGGTTCCGCTTGTGCCACTGCCATTTTATTTCGTTTCATTATTCAATGGTTATTGATAAATGTACAGTTCAAAAAATGTTTTTGTTCTTGTTTATAATTTTCGATAGTCAAACTATTCTTCAAGTATTCTTCCTCTAATTTGTTGTTGTATTCTATAAACTTTGATGTATTACCTTCTTCAGAATTATCAGCATCAAATTCCTCTTCTGATTTCTCAGAGCCTAATAATGTTGAAGAGAATGGGAAATCGTCTTCAGTATCTGAATTTTCAAAATTTGATAAATTTTCTTCATTAGCTGCTGATATGACAATTTTCAAAACAGGAGTATGGAATGTTATCACCCTATTTCTTTTCTTGTATTACTGTTGTAGCGTCTAATATTTTTAACGATAAATCAACTTTAGTTTTGACATATTAAAAGTCGTCCGTTAATTTATTCCATTGAGTAATATTTAATCTATCTTCATATTTCTCCAACATTTGAGTAAAATCTTTTAGAGCATCAGTTGAATGCTGCCGTTTAGTTAGAATACCTCCAAGCGTTCTCGCTCGATTTTTACTCCTAGTTAAATTCAAGTATTCTTTTTCTATATAATCTTTAATGTCTTCAAGTCGCGGCATTTAGGTTATAATTGGATTTCATAATAGTGCAACGAATCCAAATTCTAGCAATTGAGTTCTTTAAGGGTTTTGAGGTAAATGCATATTCGTAACCTGCATTAAAAATGGAAGTCAAATTCAAAATTTCATCAATTTTGGTACGCTGTAACTATTCTAAATAAGAACGATTACATTGGCAAAAATCACTACCTTAGCGCCCCTCGGAGACACTTTGTATGGGAGCGAGCTGTCAGTTTGTTAGTTTAGTGTCAAACAGTGAAGCTATTATTTTGCCGGCGCCGGTGGTATAGTGGTAAGCGTGACTGCTTTCTACACCCCAATGGGTCTGGGTTCAATCCCAACCGAGGTCGGTGGGATTTTTCTGAGGGATAAAAATCTTTGGTCACGTCTTCCTTCGGAAGGGAAATAAAGCCGTTGGTCCCGGCCCATGTGTGTTGAATGGGTGCGATATCCTACGCAGGTGTGGAAGCTGCCTTCCTGCACATTCGATTGCAGTCAATGGATGGCAATCGATGTTCGTCGGTGATTGGCACTAGATTGCGGAACAGAGACCGACGTTAAATAAAGGAAAGAAGAAGAAGAAGCTATTATTTTGATTTAAATCTTGATTTTAAAATCGAGATGGATGTGAAAAAAATATCGTTGTGCTCAGAAAATAAACTCTTTCACATGATGTGTAAAAATGAAAAAAAAAACAAAATTAAAGAACCCAATTGGTTCACAAGAAAAATATCTGTCTGCGTTAGTAATTAATATTAAAGTTGTTACTCACCCTAACAGGAGTATCAGATGCCTCATCCTTATTGTCCAGATTTTCGCTCACAACTGTTCTTCACGTTTTTCACTGCCAGATTTGGAAACAGTATTTTTTGAATCTGGAAGTGTGTTTATGATACCATTATCCATTTGATAAAGGTAGAGTAAACATGCGGGGCTTATTGTAAGTAAAAGTGACCTCAGAGTGGTCGTGAATTACCAGGCATTCTGAAATGGGTCACTGGAGCTGCAATAGAGCTAACACCTTCTAACTCCCGGACTAAACCTGCTTTAATTTAAGGGTAATAAAAAGCAGTTTTCTTCCATAATAACACTGCCGGACAGTGGGGGTTAGATTGTACACACACACACACACACACACACAAACACACACACACACACACACACACACACACACACACACACACACACACACACACACACACACACACACACACACACACACACACACACACACACACACACACACACACACACACACACACACACACACACACACACACACACACACACACACACACACACACACACACACACACACACACACACACACACACACACACACACACTGTTGTCAATGAGTCACGCCAAGAGAAAAACAGTTGAACTCGCATCACGGTTTTCGAAGGATTCCCTTTCTTTTCACTTGGCAACAGAGGACTTCTACATCAACTTCAAATGACTTCTAGCTAGCTAACAAAAAATTGCGGCTGTAGTGAATCATTATATCAGTGATTTTGTCAAATTATCTTATCAAACAATAGTAGAAATTCTCATTACTGATCATTAGCAAACGTATCCCATGACAATTTAATGCTCACTGCGTGTTTATGATCATTTCTTAAATTTTATTTTATATTTTATTGCAATACCTTTCGTGGACCTTTCATAGCATCGTAATGTTTGTTTACTTTGCACGATAGGTAGCCGGTTTGACAGTTCAATAGGTAGACTTGGCTTCACTCTTGGCGTGACTCATTAAACACCGACTCTAACCCTCCCCGAAAAAAAAATTACAGTGAAATTTTCAGTGGAAACAATGCTCTAACATTAATATTTATTGTCGACAATAAAAATGATTGTTATAATGTTGTACTCTTCCGAAAACGGCAAAACTGGTACCTAGCTGTACAATGAATGTACATAATAAAATGTTGTTACAATGATTTTTATCGTATTTTTCATTTATTTTATTGTTAACATGATTCGATCATGAACAATAATGAACAACTCTATTACAATAAAAATTGTTGTTACATTAAATATTGGTGTATTTTCATTGTGGGTTACTTCACGAACAATAAAAATAAATCTGATTGAAGCATGCAGACTATGAGAGGGTCAGCAACACTGCCAATGTAATTAAGATAGGCGCTGCTCGTATGGCTCTGGCTTTGACAGTTCGTTTGGCTCAAAACCAGGCAGTCCGCGTCCGCTCATATCTTATCCTAGACCCTCTCTAAAGCTTAATGGAGACCTTTTCCGTGCAGTCAATAATCATACAATAATAATAAAAAATTCCACCACTTGAAGATGTCAGGAAGGAACTCTCAGGTGGAAGCATATTTCATGGGTGATTCTCTCCAGTCGAATGCATTAACTTATCAACGACGCTCAACCACCAAGGAGACGTGACCTAGGGATATCGAGCGCAGGGGAGTTGGCCTGCATTTCTCACAAGTTCCGGATCGAATCTCGATCCATAACCAGTAAAAAAAGGACCACCCGTAACAGACATACCACCACCCCCTTCCCGGGGCAATGTTTTATTTTTTCGATTTATTTTTAAAGTCGATAAAGTAGATCTGTCAAGCCAACACATACACTCTAAAGTACACTGTTATTTTTTTTAATCAATAAATTCGCCAACCAACAGTAAAATAACAATAATATATAATGTTATTGAAAAAAAAATGTATGGGAAAATCACGAAAATTTCATTGTTAAGATACTTAACAACCCCCCTTTTTTATTGTAAATTTTCCATTTACCATGAAATTTATTGTTTTGTACAACATAAATCAAGGTAAATTTATTGTAGACGTAACAATATAAATCATTGTTAAGACAATAATTTTCGTCTTATTGTTACATTGTTTTTTAATGTATTTTTGTTGTTATTTTTTTTCGGGTCTCTACTTTCATTTTCTTCGCTCCCGAGCTGCGTGCGTCGCGTGCATATTTTTCCGCAATGTTATTGTTACCGGTCGTTCACCGATCGTTTTTTTTTGTCTTCATTTATTTTAATTGAACGCGTGCACCGATGAATTTGAGTTCTCTCACTCGAGAAAAAGTGACACAAGCTGCGGGCAATGTTTACTAATCATGAACACTAAATGCTCATTATTCATTATTCATGAACATTTAGTGTTCATGATTAGTAAACATTGCCCGCAGCTTGTGTCACTTTTTCTCGAGTGAGTGAACTCAAATCCATCGGTGCACTCGTCCATGGGAGGCATTGATTGAACGGAACTCAAATTTGAGTTGAATGGACGAGTGCACCGATGAATTTGAGTTCACTCACTCGAGAAAAGTGACACAAACTGCGGTCAATGTTTACTAATCATGAACACTAAATTTTCATTATTCATTATTCATGAACATTTAGTGTTCATGATTAGTAAACAATGCCCGCAGCTTGTGTCACTTTTTCCGAAGTGAGTGAACTCAAATCCATCGGTGCACTCGTCCATACCTCATGGATCTAACCCGTCATACCGTCGCCACCTAGATCTGAAGTGCAACCTTTGCATAAAACTGCATTTGTTGTTTTTACCGATAATTGCACTTCACATCCAGGGCATTATTCGTCTCGTATGTGCACTCAGCTGTTTGTAGTCCAAAGAAGAATCAATGTGTTATATTTTTCCCCTTGATGACATACATTTGCTGCGTCCATCCACCCTCTCGCGGGACGTTGGCCCTCGTGGCTCTGCACATGACATGTTTGTTTACGTCTCATCCTTTATGTCAACGATGGATTCCATCGCGTGTAAAATTAATTATTTCTAAGTGTGGATATTAGGATTATTCACTACGCGTATCGTAAACATATACAGTAGCGTAAAAATATCAAAATAAATTGGAGTGTAATGGAAGTTTACGCATTTTCGATGCGCTTTGTGAATACCCCTATTATTCAATAGGCCTATAAAGGGCCACCCACATTAGATCCGTTTGCGTTGCGTTGACGTAAATTTGACAGTTAGACAATAGATTTAGCTGTCACTTTGCCGCAACGCGTTAGATCCGGATCTAATGTGCGTAGGCCTTAATAGTATTAAGGCCCACGCACATTAGATCCGTTTGCGTTGCGTTGACGTAAATTTGACAGTTAGACAATAGATTTAGCTGTCACTTTGCCGCAACGCGTCAGATCCGGATCAAATGTGCGTGGGCCTTTACCGTATTTCGTCTGTGCTAGCGAACGTTGAGTATAATAAACATTATGTTTTGTATTTTATATTTACAGAACCATGCTGAGGATTCGTCTCAAAATGGGACCTTCTATGAGAAATAAAGAATGGACATGCTGTTTTGGAATCCACGTCCGTACTGCGACTATCATCATTGGGGTCTGGCATCTGGTAAGCTTTGGGTATTATATTGAGCTCTAGATATTATAAAGAGTACACACTTAGAAATTATTACCGTATTCGGTAATTTTTTACCGAACTTTCAACAGCTGAACGTTCGGAAAACGAAATCGATAGTGAGCATGCATAAGGGCGTAAACGCGATGATCGATTCTCTTCGTCGATTTTCTCTTTTGTTAATAACTCGCTAGAATTAACATTTCTCTGTGCGTTTGCTGTTGTTTTTGATAGCCAATACAACCTGTCACAACTCTGCATTGAACAAATTCTAGAAAATTGTTTCACTTAGCTGTAGCAATTGTAACAGTTGGGGTACTCCCTGCCCAGCACTAATGATACCCCCCTCTACACTACCTCAGGGTCGGCATGCGCGCTCGAATATCACGGCCAAGGAAACACTCGAATATCCAACACACACAACACTTGTTTAGCTATAGGCACCTTTATTGTTCCCACTTTCGTCCCATTTTCGTATTCGCTATCTCCTATCTCGTTTTGCCTGACGTTTCTTTTAATTCTTCAGAGCGGGCCCGCTGTTGGTCCTTCCACAGCCACTCCTTCACCTTCCTCAGCTTCCTTCTGGGCACTTTTCACAGGCCAGTCGGTTCCTTTCCTTTGACTTTGAACCCTCGACTTGGTTCGCAAGCCGGTCGCGTACTTCGGTACTTTCCGCGACGGCTCTTCGATCCCTCTCTCTCCTCACCATACTCGTGGCGTGGCGATGGGCCGTTGGTTAGTATTCCCGGATACCTTCGTATCGGAAGATGCTCCGTGTCTAACCGCGCCGTATGCCGAATGACGGACACTACGGGGTCTGACCACGCCGTGGATGAATTGCCAGCGGTAAACTACGGGGTCCTGGATGGTTCTGCACCTCACTCTCCTTCTTCACTTTTTTTCACGTCCTCACGGTTTTTTACTGGTTTTCGAACTTGCTTGAACTAGCTTTACGAAGTATCGCTGTTGAGTATCGCCAATCAAATAATTCTCAACGATGGCGGCTGACCTATCCTCTCTCCTCCTCGCTGAGCCATCGTCCTTCCACCCTATTTCGCCTCATCATGGCCCCATTATGCCCCCTCCTAATGGCCTCCTAATCCAGTAAACAGTGCCATCTGGTGGTAGGTAGAGGATCTTCCTGTCGTTTAGTGGTGTGGCTGTGTACTGTCCAGTGGGTGATTTTGTGGGCGATGGGTGGTGTTGGTAGCTTGTATTCAAACCTTTCCTTGGCTTATTGTTATACATAAAATATGAAATACTAATCGCGACAATCTCACTAATCTCAGACAGACATACACACCACTGGTTACAAAATGCAAAATGAAAATCGATTAAAAGAATCGATCATCGCGTATACACCCTTATGCATGCTCACTGTCGAAATAACTACCGAACGATCGGTAAACATATTTTTGGATTATCTGTCAAAATTACCGAACAATTCGGTGATTTTCTAAAGAACAATTCGGTAGCTAAAGCTTGCTTCATTTAGAATTGGAACAAACTTTTGCTCATATTGTGGTGCTCCTGGTGGACGGATTTGGAAGTTCTTGGCGCCCACGTGTCGGGAATTTTGTCAGCTTCACGTATGTATTTTTGACATTCCGCAAATCGACTGTACTTTGTAAACAATCAACATGGAAGCCGAAAGAAGGGAAAAAATTGTGCACAGTTATTTGGAAAATCCATTGTGGTCTGCATCTAGGCTAGCTAAACAGCTGAAATTGCCCAGAAATACCGTATGGCGCGTTATCAAACGGTATAAGGAAACATTGACGACGATTCGGAAGCCTCAAGCCAATCGTCGGAGTGGAACTGTCGACCGGAAACTGCGTGGTAAGATTTTGAAGACGATTAAGAGGAATCCCAATCTGTCGGACCGTGATTTGGCCAGAAATTTCGGTGCTGCCCATAGAACCGTGAGGAGAACTCGACTCCGGGAAGGAATCAAGTCGTATCGAGCTAGCAAACAGCCAAATCGGACCATAAAACAGAATAGTGTGGCCAAAATCCGTGCGCGGAAGCTATACGACCAGGTGCTGACCAAGTTCGACGGGTGTCTTCTGATGGACGATGAAATCTATGTCAAGGCTGACTTCGGGCAAATCCCAGGTCAAAAATTTTACTTGGCAACGGCTCGGGGGGATGTTCCAGCCAAACTTAAATTTGTTTTTGCCGACAAATTTGCACGAAAATTAATGATTTGGCAGGGCATTTGCAGCTGTGGCAAAAAAACGAAAGTTTTCGTTACAAATAAGACAATGACGTCGGAACTATACCAAAAAGAGTGTCTCCAAAAACAAATTTTGCCGTTCATTCGATCCCACGACCATCCCGTAATGTTTTGGCCAGATTTGGCAAGCTGTCATTACAGCAAAGTCATTCAAGAATGGTATGCAGAGAAAGGGGTCCAGTTTGTTCCGAAAAACCTTAACCCACCCAACTGCCCCCAGTTCCGCCCTATTGAGAAATACTGGGCAATCATGAAGAGGAGACTCAAGGCAAAGGGAAAGGTTGTCAAAGACATCAATCAGATGAAGACCTGGTGGAATAAGATAGCTAAAACGATGGACGAAGAAGGTGTGCGCCGCCTAATGAGCCGTGTTACAGGAAAAATTCGAGAATTCCTTTGAAACCGTGACGAATAATTTTATCCGTATTTTTTCTTAAAAGTATGAAGAAAACGCTACATTTGTATAAAAAAAGATCTTGAGTTCAATAATAAATAACTGAAATACAGGCAATTGTTTTTGTTCCAATTCTATCTGAAGCAAGCTTTATCACCGATCTTCCGTAAAACGAGAACGAAATCTTTTTTAATTCTACTACTTTTTTTCGAACAATGTGTATTGAATTATCTTTTTACAATAATAGCTATTTGATAGTTTTTATTGAGAAAATTTTGCCAGAATGGTTTGGTGCAATATTTAAATCGGAAAATGGCTGGATGAAAATAGTGTGCAGGAGATATGCGACGATCGTTTGTCCAAGAATGGTCTTCTGACAAATAGAACGGGTGACATTGTATTTTGGATGGTGAAAATTTCTTTGGTCTATAAAATAGTAATTGTAAATACTTCTGTTTATAATACTGTACCTCGTTCCATTCATCAGCACTTTAAGCTGGTGTTTATCCTCGATGCACGGTTCACTTATACATAAAATTTCTTCGCGATTTGACAGTTTGTACATACCGAAGCTCTGTATTTTTTTAACGAATTCGGCGATTATCTCATTTTACAATTCGTACTGTAATTTTTTTTACAGAGTTCGTCATTAAAAAATCAGATCACCGTTACTTCGGTAAAAATTTACCGAATATTGCTGACGCATTTCGCGCCAAATTGTATTCGGAGCTGGCAGCACCCTTACAGATTTCAATGAAACTTTCTGGATGTGTGGACCTTGACTAAATATGCCACTTTGCATACTTAGTTTTTCCAAAATTTATCTAGACTAACATTTGAGAAGGGCCAAACTTTTTCTGTCGATTTTTTTCAAAAAATATTATGGAAAAATGACAACTCCTACAAAAATGTGTTGTATGGATGACTTTTAGGAAATTGTCCAAGTTATCGTAAAAAATTACTGGAAAAAAATTCATTTGAGACCTACACTAAAAAAAATCATTTTTTAAAATTTAAAGTCGATTTAAAAAAAAATGGCCATGCTTGATTTGGATGAAACATGTCTGAAATATTTTTTTTTTGATTTGCCATTTTCACACAACTAATCCAGTGAAGATCAAAATCATCTCAGAATCCAATGAAGCTCAATTTGTGATTCAATTTTGTCTAATCAGCACTTAAGTTCACTTTGATTAATCGAGAGTTTCATATGAAAAGGGCTCATGATGCATTTATCGCCAAATCGTATTTGGAATTGGCAGCACCCTCTCAGAGTTCAATAAAACTATTTGGACATGTAGACCTTGTCAAAAAAATATCATTCCCTTATTCTGTTGTCTACTACTGATGCAAAATTTGATAATATGTGAGAGAAAAAAGACAAGATTTTTCATATATAATTTATTTATATAGTTTCAATGTTTTAAACCTATTTCCATACGTGTTATTTTTTCCTTTCTTCCAATAAAGTTAAATATTTTTGGTTCATCTTCTGAATTAGAATACCTTTTTGCCGCTACTTTGTCACCAGTTATAGGCACAAAACTGTGGAATTTCTGTGTGCCAGATATTTTCTTTGTGCTGTTATATAGTTCTCCTAGTTCTTCTGACATTTCGATGTACTGTTCAGTGGATATGTACTCGAAACGTAGTTTTGTGATATTTTTATCTGTTTGTTCAACTGCCCAGTTATATAATTCTCGTGGAGTTGTTATGGTGTTTCCATAATCTCGAGCAAGACTAGCTCTCTTTGCCATTCGCTTGAGAGTGCCACCAATGGCATCACAGTGACCTTTTCCATGAGACGTTGCAAAAAATGCCATTCTGCTTCTAATCCATGCTTTGACTGAAATCTACACAGACTAGCAAAGTTTATTTATTTTTTATTTTTGTATTGTGATGCTGCCCCATCTGACATAAAAGTAATTTTAGAAAAAATCTATCGATTGTTAAATAAAATCTGTCATTTTTGAGATGAACAACTGAACTGCAACTGTATTGTGAGTCATTACTTCTGATATGATAATGAAGCTAACATTTTCAAGTTTATTGTCTTTCTTAAAATAAACTTCAGATGGATGTATTGTTGCTTGAGAATTATTCCAGTGATACCCTTGAGCAGCGTTTTGGATAATGAATGAATAATTTTCAGAAGAATCACTAATTGCTAGAATTTCGCCTTCTTTTAATGATTCTATTTTAGAAAAGATGACTGTTGTTTGTAAATAAAGTCATGAGTTATAAGTTTGTTAATTTTATCAATGAGATACGGAACAAATTCATCAACAGGCTTGATAATCGTTTCCAAATTACAACGATCAGTATTCAGCCACTGTTGAAACACAACATCTTGTTTGTCATTTG